TTACAGAAAATGACTGAAATGAATAGAGCAGCCTCCGTCTGCTGGGCAGGGAAACACTTGCCCAGGAGCGGGAGTTTGCAGGAGGCCAGTCCTACTCGCAGGTGACTCCCACCCAGAATCCCCCAAAAGTCCCATTTCCAGGCCCTGCCCATGCAAGGGCACTTGGTTTTCGGGATCCCTCTCACCCCAAGCAAGCCACACGCCGCTTTGCCTTCCCGTTGCACCGTTTCTGAGGCAGCTCTGGCTGCAATCCCCCTCCCAGGGGGGCGGCTTTGGTGTTTGCTGGGTGAATTTGGCTTTGCAGGTTGAGAGGGCGAGCTGCCCCGCGGCCGTGGAGCACAGGCGAAGCCCGTGCCAGCTCTCCATGGGGAAGCCCGTGGCTGATACCTCCCGGTGGGGCCACGTCTCCCTTCGGGTGCCAACCACCATTCGTTCTCATTATTTTTAAAGCATTTTCAGACGACGACCTGGCTGGCATCGTGGACGGCGGCTACAGCCCGGACAAGAACAAAGGTAAGCGGCGACCTGTGTACATTGGTTGCCTTTAGCACTCACATCTCGGGCAATAACCACCGCATCAGCTGACCTCGGAACTGCCTCGACAGGGGTGTGTGTGCAGGGAAAGGGGGTGTCTCAGGAGAACACAGGGGTTTTGGCCTCCAGAGTCACACCTTGTGCCTGTGGTTGGAGCCGGTTATTGTTGATCCCGTGGAGGCTCTGCAGCTCCAGCTGCCACCAGGGCAGAAGGGACCCACCTCTCCCCTGCCACTTCGAAAGCAGACGCCCGCCCCTGCCCCACGAGAGGGCACAAGCCTTCATTTGCCTTCCACCGTGCGACCACCGATGGTTGAAACAAGGAAGAAAACCAGCAGCAATCGGATCAGCCTGCACGTTTGCGAGGATCCACAGCATTAAATATTAAAAGCAGTCAAATAGAGAGATGAACACCACAAGCTCAATCAACATTTAGTGAATCCCTGTGCCAAGGACAAACCACATCGGAGGCATTAATACAACGCTGACCTGCTTCCATAAATTCAGGATGCAAGTGACTCAGTAAGGACCGCAGCTTCCAGCAGGAGTGGCTTCTCCCGGCCCAGTTCCTCCAGGGAGGGTGATGTTAAAACAGACTTCAAGCCAAGGGAAGATTCCCTGGCGTTACGGAGCTTAGCCAGTCCCCTCCCTGGGACGGCACGCCCGGCACCGTTTCATTTATCCGCTCCTTCCACCCAGAGCGGTGCGGGGTGGGGGTGAGGGTAACTTGTGCAGGCGGAGGTGTCCCTGCAGAGGCTCTCCCTAACCACCCCCCCGCCAAGCATGGCAGTGGGAGAGAGGAGCAGCTCAGACCCCCCCTGAGAAGCCACACGAGCCACCCCGGGCACCCCAGCGGAGGCATGGGGGGGCAGAGGCACCGCACCCCACGGGGCAAAGGCCCCCAGCCCAGGGGTGCCCCCGGGGCCGCACTGCCGCCCCTCCCTGCCTGCTTCCTCCCAGTCTGCCCAGCACGGCACCCTGGGGAGCAGAGGGGCACAGGGCTGCTCACGGGCTCGCATCTCTTGCAGGTGCCGGGGGCAGCACCGACAGCGACTACGGCGGAGGTGGGTACTGGGGGCCAGCAGTGGGATAGCGGGATGGGATGGGATGGGATGGGATGGGATGGACTGGGACGATCGCCGGCATCGCCAGCGCCCTGGCCATGGCGCTCATCGGGGCCGTCTCCAGCTACATCTCCTACCAGCAGAAGAAGTTCTGCTTCAGCATCCAGCGTAAGTCCTCCGCAACCACCTCCAGGGCGCAGAGCAAGCACCCCCTCTTTGTTCCCTGAGCCCTGCTGCCCTTTTCCAGCCTGGAGACAGGAGGGGGTGTGGGGCATCCAGTGACCCTGAGCTGGCAGAGCAGAGCCCTTGCCTCCCCTCAGCCCCAACCACGGGTTATTGAGCCCCCCCCAACCCGTCAGGCATGGCACAGGCAGGAACCCCCCAGCAACGACAGCCCCAGGACCCACCACCGTCCTGGAGGATGCCCACAGCCCCTCGCACGCACCCACTGACAGTCGCAGCCAAAGACAAAAACACAGACACCAAACAGGGTAAATATAGAAAAAACCCACCACAACCCGAAACAAACAAGCCAAAAATCCCCCAGAATCTTAGCAAGAGGTAAGAACTCACCAGCAGCAGCGAGGGAAGCACAGCAAGCACCTGCAGCCACGGCCGTGGGGCCACCAGCAGCCACAGCCATGGGTGATACAGCCCCCCCTCCCCCCACGTGGGCAGCAATCACTGCAATTAAGTGCACATTAAGCAGCAAAGTTGCCTTTTGCACGAGCTGCCCCACAAAGTTGCTCGGTGCAGGAGGTGTCCCTGCAGCCTCGCCCCCCGGCACCGCCGTGGCCACGGTGGGCTCCCGTGGCCGGTTACAGGGCAGCTGCAAACAGCTGGAAAAAGCTGTTTTTAAATTAATCAAATGAAATCTCCTGCAAGTCTCCTTTGCTCTGGGGGAAGGGTGTTTGGGGTTGGAAATTTCTGCTGGAATCGTGCTATTTTCCCAGTTGTGCCTGAAACAAACAGGAACATTTTGGTAAATTAGATCAGCGGGAAAAGTCAAATGAATGTGATGGAATGAAACACCCTTGTATATTCCCCCCACTTAAATGATATTTTGGCAAGAATAAATAATTAAAAAAAAAGAGTAAAGGCTTTGATGAGGGGGAAGCTGAGAGACACAAAGCCCCAGAAAGGCGGCAGGAAATTAAAGTTAATTATAAAGGAGGATTAATTTAAGCCATCAGACATGGCATGCTGGGCTAATGTCAGGCCTTAGATGCATTGCAATGCATGACAGAAATCTAAGAGCCGTCAGCCACTGCAAAAGTGGCTTTTTATTGAAAAACATAAATTGCATTTGGTGTTATCCCCGCAAAACACATGTTTGGGGGGAGGCAGCGGTGGTGTGTAATGACCACTTGCTTGAAGCACGGAGGAGCAGGCTCGGCTTTTTTCCTTGCCCAGCCGTCGTTCTGCGGCGGTGAGGCTGCTGCTCCATTTCTCGGTTTTGAGCCTCTTCTGACAAGCATTTGCCGATTCCTCGAAAGGATGCATACAACGCCGCCCAGTATTCTTTATCCCACCTTGATTTCTCACAAGCAGCTCCTGCTCGCTGGCCGTGCCCTGGGCTGTGCCCAGTGTCCCCCTGCCCTGTGCCCGGGCAGGACGGGGGCCATCAGTGCTGTCCAGCAGCTCCTCTCCTGCCTCCACAGCTGTGCCAGCCACAGTGGCTCTGCTGGCACGGACAGGGCTTTATGGGGCTTTTTTAGCCAGTCCAGAAACTTCTCGTCTCCCACATACTGTGGAGGTGGCGGCTGCCCCGTGGCTGCGTGACGGCTCCCATTGCACTGCTCTGCCTCGGCCCCGGGGCTGTTCCCTGCCTCCCTCCTTCCCCAGGAGCGAGGGATGAACCCCATCAAAACCTGGGGGTGAGGCACAGCAGCTCCCCGCCACACTTTGCCTTGCAGTTAGATGCACATAACGTTTAGATGCTTAAAATTTGCATGTTGCATGGCTGCAGCATGGGTCACCTCAGCAAACCAGCACGGCCCCCTCCCCATCCCGGGTCCTTCCCTAATGGGACGTGGCAGTCTGCGCAGCGCTCCTGGCTCTGCCTCTCCCCAAAGCGGTCCTTTAGCGGAGCTGCAGAGGATGCCTGAGGTCCGTGGTGCACCCCAGGCAGTCGTAACTCAATTTTCTGTGGCTCTGAGCTGGACCGGGGAGTGGTGCCACCCCCTTCCCCCGGCGCCCCCTCTCGCTGCCCCTTGCAGCCCCCGCCTGCCCCGCAGTGCCCGCCTTGCCCCTTGGCCTGGGCTGCACTTGCTGCAAACACTGGAAACTTCTTTGCATTTAAATAAGGGACTTTTACTGGGGATTTGACACCCCACTGGGATCCTGCCTCCTCACCACAGCCCTGATTGCAGCTCTGCCCAACTTGGCCTGTAATGAGAGCGGTACCATGGAGCGACGCTCCCCGCGGCACAGCATTCCTGTCCAGAAGAGGCACCTGCTCCGTGTGCTTCTCCTGGCCTCAGCACAGCAACCGGCCCTGCCGCCGCGCGTGATCGAGGCACAGCAATCAGGAAAAAAGGGCCGCTGCTGGAAGCCCTGCCTTGGAAGCAAGCCTCTGCGGTCACTTTAAAAGCCGGTGTTGCTGTTCCTGGCTTACTGGTGTTTCCATCCTGCTGTTACTGCAGAGGAGGTTGCAAAAAGGCATCTTGGCTTTTACAGCAGATAGGCCCATTACCCGAGTTTTTAAGGCATCAAAGCAAATCATTTTTACTTTCTACCCTCCCATCTCACTGTCTTTATTGTTACTTCTCAGAGGGACTTAACGCGGAATATGTGAAAGGCGAGAACATGGAAGCTGTCGTAAGCGAGGAGCCCCAAGGTGAGACCCTTGCGTTCCTCACCCTGCCCGTGTCCGGCCACAAAAGCAGCTTTACTGAGGGAAGTTCTTCAAGTCCCTCGTGCCCTACCGGGCTGCCGTGCCTCTCTGATGAAGGCACCACTTAGGTGATGCTGCCGCTTTCTGGGAAGCACCCACTGCAGTGCTTTTCCCCCTTTATTGCACACAACGGAAAGCCGTGGTGAGAGACCAAGGAGCTCATGCTGCAAGCAGTGGCAATTAGTATTTAGCGTTCACGTTTTTCAGCCATTGAGTGTCTTCTACAAGAAAAGCTCAATCCTTCTTTTGGTGACGGATAATGAAGGCTGCTGCAGAGGCTTTCCCAATGTCACGTACAACCAGCCAGTGCTGGGCGCCCATCGCTTGCGCCCTGCTTCCATCGCGTGCTATTGTACTCACGGTTGTTTTTTTTTCTTTCTCCCTAGTTAAATATTCAGTACTGGAAACACAGTCAGCAGAACCACCAAAACAAGACAGCGCGAAGATGTAAAGCGTGACCCGGGGCTAGAAAAGAATCAGCAGCAACCGGAGATCTTACATGCTTGTAATTTAGCTTTTTATTTAATTTGAGTCCAAAGCTATTTAATGTGTACTTTGGCTTTAGGGTTAGAGTGGTAGTAGGTGTTTATTTTTTTGTAAAGAGGTATATGTTTACATCTGGGTAATATTGTAGGTTTGATGTCCAGTTGTATGCGAACCAACAGGCGGTGCTTCAGTAGTGGTCAGTTCTCAGTTAAGGGACAAGGTCTTTCTCAAGGAGCAGAAGAGGAGCAAAGTGCCTGTAAATAGCAACCCAAAGCAAACCATTCAAAGCCCTTCGTTCAAGCACCTCCAGCCAACCTCTGCCATCAGCTATGGACACGTTGCTTCCAATGGCGGTGATGGAAACCGCACATTTCCTGAGGGTAGATGGTGGGGTTTAGTGTAGCTACGCCTAAAAATAAAGTGCCTATGGGTAGGGCCTCAGGTGGGGCCTCGGGCTGGGGCAGGTGACTCCCTGCTCCGAAGCCAGGAGCTGAGGAGGCTTCACCACCACATGGCGCTGGGCTTCTAACCACACAGAAGGACCTGGTTTTCCTGGCAAGTCTTAAATACAGGTACTAGCAGCGTGTGCAGTGGTCACGTTTAGCAAACACCATTTGAATGCTTGGCTATGCTAGAGAGCAGAATGGAGCTGAAGCTGCCAAGCCATACAGTTTGTGTGACAGGAGATACCCATTTTTCGCCAAAATGAAAACTGTGTTTGGATGCTTCCGGGGACAGGTTCCGATCTCAATCACACTAGAACAAATTACAGATTTAGGCCAAAAGAAAATAAACAAGGGAGGCATCTGTTAAGACCTGCAACACTCACTGCCACGAGAGAAGTCGGGCTTAGCACGATGCGGTCCCCCCCTTCCCCTCCAGCCATTAACGCAACTGTTGAGAGTGCCCCTGGCACCCCAGGCAGAAAGGGGGCAGAAAGCTTTGTCCTTCGCGTCCCCCACTAACCTTTAAAAAAGGCAGAATCTCCTGAGAGGACGGGTCCTCCACCGCCAGCCTGCATGGGGTTCCTGCAGCTTTCTGGGAGGCACTGGGCTGTGGGTGGTGCCCTCTGCGGTACCGGTGTCGAGCCCCAACCTTCACTGGGTTGCAAGAATTTGCGTTTCTATTTCTAATCCCTCCCCAGCCTTTTTTTGATTGCTGCTATAACCGGGGGTACTCCCGCTTTCTGAGGCATTTACCCAAATCACTGGTTGCTTTAAGAAGCGTGCTCTCAAGTGAAGGGAAATTCACTTTATGTGGTATAAGAGGTACTCACTATTTATGTATAAACCTGAAATGTGTGCATTTTGTACCGTTTTGCCAATCCCATATTTTGTGAATGTGTATTATAAAAAAAAAAAAAAAAAAAAGCCTTTTTGGTATGATGTACAAATTCACAGCTTTCAGGTAAACACAACTTAGAGATGGCCTTGCCAGGAGGTGAATCAGCCTCAGAGCATTGCTGCCTAATAGCTCCATTTGAAAGGAAATTGCCTAGTAACATGGTTAAGTATTTTGCAATAGCTGCACAATTCTTTATGCTCTTTTTAGCACTTGCATTTTTAAAGCCTTACGCTCGCTCTAGCGGCTGCAGCGTTTCACGGGGGTGCGAGTCCCAGGGCTGTACGGTGCCTCATGTGTACACTGTAGCCCAACTGCTGCTACCAACTGCTGCTGCTCGGGTTCATGAAGGCGTTTGGATTGGAAAACAGAAATATTTAATTATTGGCTGCCCAGCGAGTGGGAGCAGAGGAGAGGGCGGTGGGGTGTACCCTGCGTCGGCTTGCTCCCAGGACGGCTTTTCACGGGGGAGCGGGGTCTGCGGGGTTCAGGTCGCCGTGTGCCGCAGCTCAGATGCCGACGAAGCCACGCAGCTGAGTTTCTGTATCTCCATTCCCAAACACTGTCGCCCGTTTTTCTTTCTTAGCCAGACACGTACGAAAGCTGTAGCGTGAAAAATGTGCTTAGCAAGTTACTGTAGGTGCAGATCATCGGGTTTATTGCATTTCTGCTACCGTGCCCTCCCGGTTTGCCTAGCAGGCGGTGCAATGGAGTGTCCAGCATTGCTTGAAGAATACAGCACCTGCCCCTCCTTGGGAAACTCTTACGCTAGAAGGTATGAGCAACACGTGTCTAATTCACAAATGCTGCAGTTTAAAAAAAAGAAAAAAAAGCCACTTCACTGAAAAACCCCACCCAGTTTTGAGAACTCGGAAGTTGCTCCTTTCCCCAAGGCCTTTTCTGTGACTTTGGCGAATACTTCTGCCTTAGTGTAATGTCTAGGTATGTGGAAAACCATAAAAGCAGTGAAAGGGAGCACGTCTTAAAAAATTTACAGTAACAGAATTCAAGATCTCTCTCTTTAGGCTTTCAAACAGGAAAATATTGACAAATACTGCAGTAAAGAAATTAAGCTTGGTCTTTAAAACTGGACAAAAGTCAAAGTCTCAATGTGGTGAATGTCAGCAGAGGCTCAAATTGCTTTTTATTGCGGCCTGTCTCCCCTCTCCACCTGAACTGTCAGACCAGCCTCTGAGAAACGGGGCCTTTACACATCATCTGTATTTTAGGCACTACAGCAATGGCGAGGATTCCTGTGTTCTCTTAGCAGTGATCCAAGTTCCGAAACAACTGACCCACCACTGACCTCCCTAACTACTTGCATTTCATTCATATCTATTCCCTTTAATTCCGGATATGGGATTTTTAAGAATCCCGCACTTTAGGCTCTGTATACACGGTATGAACTTTCTTATCCTTTATAAAAAAAGGCCATAAAACACTGGAAAACTGGGATTTTTTTTTTGTGAGTCCAAAAACTGTAGCTACAGCTGCCCTGAGAGCTGATGCACCTGTGCTGTGGGCCCTTGCCATGCCTCACTTCTTCGGCTTAACTAAAGCTATTTTTAATAAAATGATTCAGAAAAGGTTTCTCAATTAGAGAGAAAACAGAGAATTGAAAGCATTTAACTCATTCTTATCCTGTTGTTTATTCATTACTTCCATTTTCCTTTGGCACTACTGTACTGATTTCTTCATTTGAGACTTGGCAATACTGTAGCCGTTTCTTTGTTTTAGATTCTTCAGCTGAGAATACTCTAACATGAATTTCAGATATTCTGGCACTAAACTCAGTCATTTTCATGCAACCCCACTAATGAACCCTTACAAGTGCTGGATTGTCATTCCTAACTACTCATTTGTTGTGCTACAAGTAGAATTAGTCCATAATACCATTTCAAATTCTGAAAAAGTAAGATGAGTCGGCAGGCTGAGGCTTTAAAACTCTGTTTCTGCCACAGAGGAGGTTGGGGAACAAACAAAGTTCAGAGGCACTGGTACTGCAAAATTGGAGAATCCTTTCTGTTGAGTGAAGTCCTTGCTCAGAAGCAAGGCGTGCTGGGCTGACGCAGAAGCGATCTACACCAAATGAAGGCTGAATGTTGCGCTGTAAGAAAACAAGATCCATTTTGCTAATGTGCATGTAAGGATCATGGGGGCAAGAATCAGAATTTGACTGCCATTGGAAAACACCAAATAAAAAACCTTGACTAGTAAGATATTTGAGGCTTGATTTTTTGTGGGTTTTTTTCATGCTGGAAGTATTGTGCATCACCTCTTCTGTAACTACACTAAAGACTATTTAAAAAAACCAAATCCAGCTGGACTTTGTGAGAAAACAAGTATCATTATGAAAAATTTAATGGTAAAAATGAAGTATTTGCACACACACACACACGCTCTCCTCAGGTTGCCCAGCAGCTGAACTCCAGGTAGTGCCCAGTGTCCCTGCCTGCACTCAGCACAGCTGGTTTTTGGTCCTTTCCGCTACCCTAGGTTACCTGCAGTTTTCTTTGGAATTTCAGATCCAGCAGATGAGGGTAAGAAGGCTCTACAGAGGGACCTGGACAGGCTGGATTGATGGGCCAAGGTCAATTGCATGAGGTTCAACAAGGCCAAGTGCTGGGTCCTGCACTTGGGTCACAACAACCCCATGCAATGCTACGGGCTTGAGGAAGAGTGGCTGGGGA